AATATGAAATCAATTCCTACTATTTATATTATGTTTGATTCAAGATAAAAAAGAAATGTTAACTTTCAGTTTATGAAGAGTTAAAACAAAACAGAACAACACTTACAACAAAAGCAAAATAGTAAATCCTAAAATGACCTGTAATATTTTAGGCATCTCCTATCCCTGTCTTTGGTCCATATCCCCTGCCATTACCCATTCTGCTCTAGCAACCTGGACTCTTTGCTCTTCATAGGGTACCTGCACCTGTTCCTTTTGCCTTAAATACTTTTTTCTAGATGTACTTATGTCTTATTTTCTTCAATTTTGGTTTCTGTTCAAATTTTATCTAAATAAAATGGTAACTTCTCCCTTCCATACCTCTAGACCCAGACTCCACTTTCTTCCTCTCTGTTGACCCCATTGAAACTATAAGGCACCCATACGGACTAATACATGTGCTTATTATTTGCTTTCTTTATTATAATTGAAACTCATGAGGGAAAGAAAAAAGTCATTTACTCATGGTTATATCCACATTATCTTGAAAAATGGTTGGCACATACTGGCACTAATTATGTATTTGCTGAAATGCTTGTTGGATAAATTTAATCTCAATTCTAGATCACTCCTTGGCTAATATTTACATTATTCCTCGGAATAATGAACCAATCTAATTAATCATGAAGGCAGAAAATAACTATCTGCAGACTTTAGCCTGGAATACGTTGCATAGGTTAGCTGTTTACAAATGTACCCTGAGACATATTTGCTTAGATTTTTGAGTATTAGTTTTCCCAATGACAATAAAATCAATATTTCTACATTTCAGGTTGTTTTGGAATTAAATGAGATGATATATGTAAAGATGCCTAATTTAGTGCCTTACAAATTATAGGAGCTTCATAAAATTAATTCATGCATCTACATTTCCAGTCAGAGATTGAATCAAGTACATTGAGACAAATACAATCTAGAAAATCTATACAAATATTAATAAAAATCTACCACTTTTTGGTAACTTTTTGGGTAAGAATGGAAAGAGAGAGAAAATAAAATTTAAAAAAAATGATGTTTATCTTAATCCAAAGATCTCATAATTTAGTTGGAAGAAGAATGCATAGTTTATACTAACTTAAACCAGTATAGAAAAATAGTACAGAATCAGAAAACATTAGTTTGGATTCTAACTTCAATAATTACTTGCTGGGTTATTCTTTTCCATATATTTTTTCCCTGACTTTATTTTATGAACCATAAAATGTAGCTGTCAATAATAATAATACAATCAGCAAAGTCGGGGATGTTAAATGAAGATGAATTGTTGGGAAATTTTGGGTAAATTGCAAAATTATCTATAAATAATATTAATATTTGTGAGAAATGTCAAGCATCTGTACTCTCCTGGCATTTCTTTCACTCTATGTCAATACTTATCTCACTTGATAACACTATTTGTATGAGTCCCCTTAGTGCAGTGGGAGTTCCATAAGAAGAAGCATTGTTTTATTCATTTTAGTTTTATGATGTCTGTTTAATAAATGTTGAAGGGAGAAAGAAAAGTAAAGAGAATGAATAAATGCTAATAATAGAGATATAGCATAATGTAGGGAATAATAAATGTCAGCTTGCTTGGAGGGATAGAAATAGAGAAGACCACTCAGGGGTGGCATATTCAACTTAAGTCTTGCAAGTTGAATTAGAGTTTGACAGGCAGAGGATAAAAAGAACATTATAGGTGCTGTAAAGGTTCTGCAACTGGACTCAAGGGATAGGGTTTTGGGGACTCATAAACTGATTATATAATTTTATGTGTTTATGCATTTGCTCTCAAGGTCACAGACCACAGTTTGCACTTTAGGCTCAAAGTTGTCAGTGCCACAATAAAAAGATAAGAAATACTGCAGATGAAGGAAGCCAGGTAAGGTTGTGTATGCTTATAGTTTCAGCTACTCTGGAGGATGAGGCAGGGGGATCAAAAGTCTAGGCCTGCCTGAGAAATTTCAGTGAGGACCCTGTCTAAAAAAATGAAAAGAAAAGACCACTTCAATTGAGAGAAGATGAGCAAATATGTCATAACATATTTAGGGAGCAAATAGAGTTGTATTGTCACTGAACAGTGCTCACTCTGCACTTTAAAATCTGGAAAATCAGAAATTAATATTTGCTTCAGAAAAATAAGAAATAGAACTTTTTTATTCTTCCAAACTAAATGCTTACTAGCTTTTACAAATGCAAAGGCTTTATCTGTTACTAAATACTATTTAAATACAGTCTTGAGGGAAGGAAGATCAAAATCTAGTCGTTCATTCAAAACTGTCCATTTTATCGATTCACAACTCTTTGAAGTCTTCTTGATTCTCTGGTTCTCACTTATTCTTTGTAGAATTTTAGCCTTTGATTGTTTCCAACCGAGCCCTGGCCTTGTTCCATATAGTAGAGAACAGCTGGTTGCCTATGGTAAACCCAGCAGTAAATGCCAAGCTAAAGACAGGATATAGAACACAGTGTTTGAAGAAAAAGTTAGATCTTCATTTGAACGATGTTGAAATTGTTCCTGCAGTTTAAGATGACACTGATTCCTAAGATGATTGCAATTCACAATGGCTTTGCTTTTTATTTGTTTTGTTTTTCTTAAAGCCAAACACCACTTATATTTCTCCCTTATATAATCTGTTCAATTATTAGCAATTATGAAATCCACCATACATCTTATAGGTATGCTATCTACCTTTCATGGGAAGGTCCCTCTGAACAGCAGTATGCTGAGTCATATGCTGTAGTCATTAGACTCCTTACATAAACTTGGACTTGGAAAAGGACACATTTCAGGAAAATCAGGATTTACATTTCCAGTAATGTTTTCATGGATTTGAATTTATAATTCATTTGTTTGCTAAATTAGGAGAGAAGCTTCACATGTAACCTCATACAAGTTTCATCTATAAAAACATGTCTTGTCTGGTGCCTCTCTGTTGAATGAATGAAGATACACCCCTGTATAGAGATTAAAAAAAAGAGAGAAATAAATAATACATGCAGTGATGATAACTCTGCACATTTTGACAGCAGTTTACAAAGTACTTTCACAGTATGACCTACTGGAAAGAAAAAATTGAATTTGGATTCAGAGAAATCTGTGTTTGCTTAGTGGATCTAGAGTTCACTACCAAAGTAATAAAATCAGTTTCTTTGTAATCGTCAGGGTTATTGCCTCATAAAGAGGATCATCTACCAACTAGATCATCTTTCAGAATTGATGGGAGGATTGATTAGAATTAAATGAGACAAGGAAAGGGAAGGCATTGGCAAACTCAGTGCCCTGCTGTGGTTGATCAGCATCACATCACATCCTTTCTTGAATGTTGCACAAAGGAATGTAATTTCTCACGTAATAAAGATGGAAGTAAAAAGGCTTTGTATTTTTATCCTATCATAAGTAAATATTAAATATGCAAATACAATTTTCATACACTTTATTAAAAGAGGTATTATGAGGAGAAAATAAGATGAAATTTTTGGTAGGATAGTTTACAGAGAAGATAAATTAGCTAACTGGGGAGAAAATGAAGATATGCTATAAGAGTTCAAAATTATTTAGAGGTTAAGACCTGGAATCACAGAAAAAGTAACCTTAACTTCATCTCTGAGTTTCTGAATTATCTTTTTTTTTAACTAGTGAAATCTAGATCCAATAATCAAGCACAGATTTCTCTAAATCCAAATATCACTTGATTTTCCTAGAAAAAACAAGAGTAAGAACTAGTGAGAAAGTAGATTACACTTTCAATCCACAAATATCTAAAAGTTTAGAAAAAGCTATCTAGTTGTCAAAATTTATGAGAGGCAAACTAGTATTCTAATTTACTGTTTAGGTATGCTTATTGTCTAAGTTTGAGTTAAATAATTTAAAATATAGATGTTAAGAAATGGGGAAGAATAAAGAAAAAGGGAATGTGGTTGATTTATAAAAGATGTAAGAGTTATATTGCTGGAAAAAAAACTTGTTCAAAATTTGGGAACAAGGCAAGAATGACTGCATGTCTTTTCACTGCCTAACAGGCCTTGTAGGAACTACTTAATTTTCTAGGTGTCTGTCCCTTTGATTGGGGAACATATTCTGGAAAGCAACATGCTAATTTATTATTTTTTAAGTAAGATAGAAATACAAATTATTTCTGTCCTAAAGCAAAGACAATTCCAAGGTATATGATTTTACTGCCTCATTGGAGTATAACTTAACAAAATGCATTTAATATGATTTTTCCAGCTGAGTCTAAAAGTCTCTGTGCTTTAGATGCACTTTGAGTCATGCTATGGATTCTTCTATTTATGAATTAAACCACTGTGACTTATTCTGTTTTTGTATCTCACATTTTTAGCTTTTAAAAAAATTAACACTTTGGCATTTTATTAATTAACAGGATCTGTATCTGTATGTTCTTTTCCCCAAATTTAAGAAAACAACAATAGGTAGATGTGGTGGTGCATGATTCTAATCTAACTACATAGAAACTGAGGCAGGAGAATTACAAAATCAACCCTAGCCTCAACAATGTATCAAGACCGTGTCTCAAAGGATTAAAAAAAAAGTCGGAGGAAGCAACTCAGTGGTAAAGTATCTCTGGGTTCAATCTCCAGTACCAAAACAAAACAAAAACAGATTGGACAATTCTCTGAGTTTTATAGAATTCAGTCTATATTTTGCATTTATACAATTATTTTTCTAACTTTTTTCACTCTGATCTTATCAACCTAATGATAAGCAGTAGCATTATTAACTAACTAAGTGAAGTAGGGAAGATAAAAGTTTGATGATATTACATTTTAAATGTCACAAAGGATATCTCCATTAGAAAAGATATTAGAGTTTTTGATAAGATGGTGCATAATAAAATCTAGTCTCCTTCCCCAAATCCCTACTCAGGAAATATTAAATATTTAAAAGGGGCTGTATACAAACTGATATAATAAAGGATTTTTTAATAAAGCAGAGAAACTTTTGAATTTAAAGAATGTTGTTTCTCAGTTAGTGCTAAGGGTATGGATAGCAAGAGGGATAAAAAGGGCAGAAAAGTGTCAGGAAAATCAGACAGGTAATAACTTTGGAGGGAAAAGAAAGGAAGAAATAGACATTGGTAATGGTTCAGGTTGGTAAATGTATTAAGGTTTTGCTGAGAAACAAAATGAATATGGTTTGTGTGTATGCGTGTAGAGTGAGACAGAGACAGAGACAAAGAGAGAGATTCAGAAAGGGAGAGAGGAAGAGAATGAGCAGGAAATAGATTTTTTTAAAAGAAATTGGCTCATGATTGTGGGGTTAGCAAGTCCAAACTCTGCAGGACAGAAAACAGGCTGGAGACGTCGGGAAAAATTTCATGATGTAGCTTGCATCTGAAGATATTCTGAAGGTGAATTCTTTCTTCAGGGACCTCAGGTTTTTTTTTCTTAAGAACTTCAGTGGAATGGATGAGGCCCGTCCATGTTATGGAGGGCAATCTGCTATATTCAAGGTTTGTAGATTTAAATGTCAGTGACCTAACCAAGTTGACACATGAAGTTATCCATCACTATGAGTTTAAGAAATCCATAAAGAAAACTACACATAAAAATTGTTCTTAGATTCTGGCTTCTGAATCAGCATGTAGGGAGCCTGAAAAGTCATTTCTCTAGTTCAACAATTTTCCTTGATACATTAAAGAACTGAGATTACAGAGCAAACAGCACCAATAGTGGAAGAGACCAACAGATGGATGCAGAGCTCAAAGCTTAGTAGAGCCAAAACCTAAAGCAGAATACCATAGGAACCTGGGCCTGGGCAGGAAAATGTAATACATAATTGCCCATTTGCTGTTGGCTCAGGGAGGACAAGATTAAGAGATAAAAGCACAGAAAATGGCCAGTCTTAAGAGGTCATCAAAATTTTGTGAGTTTTACCTCCAGAAGCCTTATCATGTAATCCAAGTCAGGACAGGAGAAAATATCTTTGTGTGCTTCTGTGAGTATGTAGCCATTTTTAAATACATCTGGAGTAATTTTCCTTAACAAGATCAAATCTTCAAAGAAACTATTTTACCAGAGCCAAACCTTCAGAGTTTTAATAGAGATTAAGTGGTCTGGGGAAAGGAAAATACCAAACCCCAGCCAGCCGCAGTCTTCCTGTGTCCCCTAGAAGGGTAAAAAATGAGGCAACTGAGAAGCACTTTGAAGGTCACAGTCTAGGACACAGGCTCACTAAAGATGAGGCCCTAGGAAGGACTGCAGAATGCTTTCTCTCCCCTTCACCCCTCAACCGACATCAAAACTACTCCTATATAAAATCAGGTGAATACAATTGGGAAAAGTATGCTCATAGGATATTAAAAAAAATTCTAGAGAAACCCCAAAGAAAAAGGACCAGAGGGAAGTTCAGCCTCTGATATCTACAAACACAACCTAATCCCTAGCAGGAACATCTCAAAGGAAAGGCCTATTTATCTCAGTTGTTTTTATTCAGTGCATTATGTTTGGCCTGCAAAGAAACAAAGCAAAATAAAAACAAGACTTACTAAAATAACAAAATCACAGTTTAAAGAGACAGAGCATGCATCTGAATAAGACTTCTACATGGCAGAGATGTTGGAATTATCACACTGGGATTTTTCCTTTAGCTTAATTGATATAAAAATGACAAGTGTTGCATATATTTAGGGTACAAAACTGAACGATTTGATATACCTAAACATTAAGAAATGTTTAGCACAATTGTATTAACACACCTATCACTTCATACCATTATATTTTTGTGCATTTGGTGATAAGATCTATATTCAGCCAAATTTAAGTATATAACACAATATTATTAGCTATAGTCACCATGCTGTACATTAAGATCTCTAGAACTCAGTCATGTTATGACTGAAATTTGCTATCATTGAACAGCATCTCACCATTTTTCTCATTCCACTATTCTACTTTTCTTTTCTATGAGTTTTTGAATTCTACACATAAGTGAAATCATATATTTGTCTTCCTATGTCTGACTTATTTTACTCAGTATAATTTCTTCAAGTTTCATATATCTTGTAAAAATGGCAGGATTTCTTTTTTTCTGGCTCAGTAATATTCAAGTGTGTGTATATGCATGTGTGTGTATTTATCCATCAATTAATCAGCAGACACATTTACTGATACTTGTTATGCCTTGATTTGTTTTTTTTTTTGACTAACAGCTGTGTTAGTCAGTTTTTTATTACTGTGACAAAATACCCAACAAGATCAACTTAAAGGAGGAAATGTCTACCTCACGGTTTCAGAGATTTCAGTTCACAGTTGACTGGCTTCAAGGCAGAAACATCTCGGCACAAGAATGTGGAGGAAACCTGTTCACCATATGGTGGCTGCAAACCAGAGAGAAAGACAGTGGTGGGGAGGGAGAGGGGCCAGAGACAAAATATATTCTTCTAGGATATGCTCACAGTGATCTCTTTCACAGACCTCCAACTAGGCCTCCCCTAGTGTTTCCACTACTTCCCAATAAATAATCCATTCAATCACATTTCCCTGAATGGATTAATCCACTATTTATATCATATGCCTCATGATTCAATTTATTCCCCAAAATCTCACTTTTGAACATTGCTGCAATTGAGACATAGAGTCAACATGGGAGCCTCTGAAGGACATTCTAGATATAAACCATAACAACTGCATACACTGGGAGTTTAAAACAACTATGATTAATATGAGGGTGCTAAAGGAAAAAGTGGGAAATATGCAAGAACAAATACATGCTAGGAACACAAGGATGGAAGTGCTAAGAAAGAAGCGAAAGGAAAAGCTAGAAAACAAAACCTAGTAATAGATGCCTTTGATGGACTCATCAATAGACTGGATACAAGAGAGGGAAGAATCATGAGACTAAAGCAGTGTCAATAAAATTGTAAATAATCATAATTGAGGAAATATAAAAGTAGAATATATATTTCACATCAACTGAATAAAATCCAATATATGAAGAATAAAACAAAAAAAGTAAATAAGGGTTATAAAAATATAAAAAAATATAGTACAAATGAGTGCTAATTACATATATATTACTTAAGTTTACAATGAACATATTATCAGATAGACAAACTTTTATTAAATTATTCAGAAATCCTAACTAAAAGAAACTTAAAATATATATGGAAAGTTTAAAAAAATCAATGTTAAAAATACAAGTAATTGAATCTTGAATAATTGAATTTTAAAATGTAGAAAAGATAGTGTCTTAAATAAATGGTACTGGCATAATGGAATGGCCATAATGCAGAAGACTGCATTTGAACTTTTCTTTTCACACTATATAAGTCAACTCAAAGGGATCAAAAACTTTAACCTAAGATGGACGTCAAACTCTGAAACAAATAGGGGAGAACTCTTCAAAATATTGGAACAGGTTATCATTTCCTGGAAAAGCACAGGAAACCAAAGCAGAACTAGACAACTGGGATTGATTTAGACTTAAAGCTTCTGTACATCAAAGGAAACAACCAAAAGAGTGGAGAAATAGCCTATAGAATGGGAGAAACATATTTGCCAACAATTCATCTGACAGACGGTTAAGTTCCAGAATATATAAAGAACTTAAAAAACTCATCAAGACAAAACAAAAGACAATTAAAAATGGATGCGGAGGAAAGGGAGCTTTTATTCACTGTTGGTTGAAATGTAACTTGGTACAGCCACTATGGAAAACAGTATGGAGATTCCACAAAAATACTAAAATAGAAGTACCATATGATCTAGTTATCCCACTTCCGGGTATATATCCAAAGAAAATACAGCCAGCATACAAAAGAGGTACCTTTATGCCTACATTTTTTGCAGCATTATTTAAACAAGCTAAGGTTTGGAATCAGCCTAGTGCCCATCAACATATGAATGTATAAAGAAATATGGTAAATATTCATGTTGGAATATTATTATTCAGCCATAATGAATTATTGAATTCTGTCATTTGCAGCACAGTGGATGAAACTGGAGGACATCATATAAGGAAAAGAAGCCAGACATGGAAAGACATTTTCTCTCTCTTATGTGGAAACGAACCACAACAAACAAACAAACATAGACCTGAAAGGGGAATAGTGGTTAATAGGGATTAGGATGGGTGTTGAGGTGGGGGTAAGGGTGGAGAAAATGCATGTGAATATGAGTAATGTGTATACATTATGGAAATGTCACAGTAAATTCTATTACTATGTACAATTAATGCCTATTAATAAAAATAGATACAAAAAGAAATGATACAAAAAATAAAATCATTTGTACTTTTGATAGCAGTTAAAATTTAATAAAGGTATACAGTAATTTTTCAAAATGCAATGTAAATTTACTAAAACTTATAGTAATCCTGAAAAAAAAGTATTTCTTACCCTATTAGATGTGACTACCTATCTCAAAGTGACTGTAATGAAACCAACAGGGTCCTGGAAGAGAGACTGACAAATATTCTGTTCAGATATAATGAAAAGCTAGAGATAGGTGGAACCTCTCAACAGTATAAAGAAGAAGAAATTGTTTAAGAGATAATGTTAGAGATAAAATGCCAAAAGTAATTTAAAAATATATATAGGATAGTATCCTTGTGACCTTAAGATGGGAGAGGAAAATGTCTTAAAAATCACAAAAGTACAAACCATAAGGCAAAGAATACATCCAAAATAAGAATGTTTTCCCATTATAGGATGACAGGAACAAAGTTACAAATCTGGGAGAACAGATTTCACCATGTAAAGCACTTGTGAAATAAGAATCTAGAATATTTAAGGAAATTCATATAAAGAAGAAAATGGTGGAAAATTCCATAAAAATAGGTAAACTGTAAAAAGGGCCTTCAGTGGTTTTTCTCTTCCACTAGTACTCTAAGAATTGCAAGTTGAAGTACTAATGAAGCACCATTTTATACCCATCCCATCAAGAGGGACAAAGAGAGAGTTTGCATATTTGCAAAGACAGGCATATCACTTATTATTCAATCTGATAAACCACAAAGAGAGTGATATTAAATGACATACTATTATATATAGGGTTTTGATCTAACGCAACTGCAGGCAATGATTAATCAGTCAATAAGAAGCTACAGTTGGTTTCTGCCTCTATGTGGACATGAAGAGAAGGCAGTCAGGAAGGGAAGATGGATTTCTATGTAAAGGAGTGCAAGAATTAATTGAAACCTCAGGAATGGAACAAACTGGAAAATGTTTTGATCTCATATGGCCCCCAAACCTCTGACTTTGATGCTGCTGAGAATGCACCTGACTCAGGAATCAAGGGGCTAAAGAAGGACATCTGGGAGCTGGAGGAACTGTGGACCAGTTGTTTCCCCCACAGCCCCCACAGAGACAGATTGCAATCCACAGCAGTGTGGGAGAGATGCAGCAGTGTCTGGTTCCATTTCCCTGACCTTGGGAGCATCAGATAGTATGGCTTCTGTGGTTCTTGTGCTTCTCCCAAATCATGCAAATAGTCTTTTGTGACCTACATCAAGCCAGAACAGTGCAGGAAGAAATTCTGGGAAATACAATTCTACCTTAGCTAAGATGATCCAATATATCTCCCCACAGGCCACTCCTTGCCTACTTGGCATTCATATGCATCTCTTTTAAATGTAGTTATTTTAATTCCTAAATAATGACAACAGAAAATTCATGCCCTTGCCAAATAAAATGCAATTATCCTTCTTACACCTAAAATATGCAACCCTCCCCTTAACAGAGGTCACACTCTCCCTTACCTATCTTCCGGTGATATTCATTTGTCTTTAAGCTGAGTCACATTCCCCTTTAATAACTTATAATTTAAATAACAAGATATAATGTTAACTATCATTAACATATTTCAAATAGAGAAGGAAAAAAGCATACTGGTTGTCTCTTCAGTCAGTCATATGGACATAACTGGTATTTATTTTACCTGTGCTATCTACTATTTTCCTTTAGTAAGCAACTTGGCTAGTTTTAGTTCCTTGCTTGATGGAATAACAAAACCTTCATTCTTGGAGATTATGAGTCATTAATAGTTCCTCTTACATTAGGTTTGTTGCAGTTTACCATTGACTTTAATCACAAGGTCATGTGAGTAATGAAAGTGATTCAGGGGATCTCCTGCATTCCAGATAATGCTCATTATTATCCTCATTTTTAGCAACCCCGTCTCCCTAGGTATTCTGGATCAATTACCCCAGAAGGACATTTAAGGTGTCCATTTACCTGACACCAAAACTGAGTATTCAGAAGGCCATTCCAATGTTCTTTTATACCAGAAGCTTCAGATGATGGGGAATGTGAAAAGATCAGAAAACTCCATGACTTTGAGTTCCTCATCTCACTTTACCTGGTAGCTGTTGGTTGTTTTGGGTTGAATCAATGCTGTGTGGGAAAAAACAAACAAACAAACAAAAGACAAAATAACAGTAAAAAAGGCATTCCATAAATTTATGTCTAATAGTTTGGGCAGAAACATTATGGGAACAAAAGGCAAATACATATCCAGAGTGAGTATCTCTTCCAGTAAGGTCAAAAGCTTTCACATTTCTTGACAGAACTGGTCCTACATAATCAATCTGATGGCAGGTGAGTGACTGATTTCCCAAGAACTGGTGCCTTAGTAGGGAATTATACTTGGATTTTGTTGTCAGCATATTGAACACATCACAGCAGCTGAAGATAATCAGCCTAGATATGGAAGTCTGTGTTGCAAAATCCCCATCTTTGTCAACAAATCACTGTACCTTGAGTGTCAGGTAAGGACAGATTAGATGGAAACTCACTGACAGATGTCCACAGAATGGGCGATTCCATTCACCTTATTAGTTTTTGCTTAAATTTATTTTTAATGATCATTTACAATGGCATAAATATCTTCAAACTCTGTGACCATCTGCATACATCTTTCTACAATCTTTTTACCAATTTCCCCATGTATATATTCCATGTTTCTGACAATTAGCCAAATCATTAGCCACTGCCAACCACTCTAACTGAAAGGGTAAAGTTTCTAAGCTGGAAAGCTTGAATGTAAAAGATTAGGTATTATTAAGTTCCTCTGTTACACCCAGAACCTGAAATTCCTGAGATAGTTAA